GAAAGAATGAATGACTTGTGGTCGAAAGCCTTTGTCCTTCATCCCTCTTTCCTTGAGGAAATGTACCAGTTTCCTTTCTCTGTCACTCTCCAGGCTAAAGAGCATCGTATATTTAGCTGCTGTTTTATTCATCCCCATCAGTCTCATTTATCTCAAAGAATTTAGTGCGTCTCTCATTCTCCTTTATCTCTGTCTCACATTTGTTTCCTCCTCTGCTCGTATTTTCTGAGTTTTACACTCAGTTTTTTCACCTCGTGCTGAGTCATGTTGGCAGTTTTTGTTAGTACCTCCTGTGTTATTTCTTGCTTACGTCATGTTAATGACTGTCATTTGCTCTTCGGCCTGAGTCTGTTAAAACCTGACTGTTGTACACTGTCTCAGTCCTCCTTTCTCTTTCTCTGTTGTTTACCCTAAAAGGGGAAAAAACTGTGCCGCTGTCGCTGCCTTCTTTCTTGGCCGAATGATTCATTCTTTTCTCCTTTTATTCCTTGGATCCAACTTCATTGTTTTTCTTTTAACATCTGTCGAGATGCAACAGATGCAGCCAGTGTAGCTGTCTGCCGTAATTACAGCAATTACCTACCAAACACCGGAGCAGGGACAGACCGCAGCCACATCTGGCGTACCTTCATCTTGAATTTTACCTTGTACAAACTTGTAGACGGACAGTGTAAACAAACACAACCAACAATTTGTCTTCCATTTCCATGTTTGGCTGCAATCCAGTGACTTGGACTCCCCTCTCAAGTTGGACCCAAGTTGGACATAGTGATAATAACTGATGTATCTTCATCCTTTTTGCTTTGTTGTACTCGTGGTGAGTTCCCACGATGTCATGGCTGACATGGTGATGTGTGGTGAATGTTTTCCTGATTTGGCGGCCTGGCAGCTGGTAGAATTGACTTCCTGTTTCTCAGTAATTTGAGACTGGAAGTTTGTACGTATATAATAATGAAAAAGTAAAACAAGACTGACACACCAGGCTCAAGTTAGCACATGTAATTGGATGAGATGGAATTTCTGATGGTGTTTTTGCTGCAAACCACATATCCGTCAGATTACACAGGCAAAGGCAAAGGAAGCACACTCTAAAGAAAACCACTTAGTCAGTCTAATAATTTTTTTTCCAGGCTTTGGGTTCATAGTAAAGAAAGAAAGAAAAATCTCAGTGAAATAAGCAGTTGTAAAATAAAACAGAACTTCTGCAAGTTGAGTAATCATTAGTCAAATGATAATCACTTTCAATTCATAATCACTTATGCACTGAAAAACATTTAATGATTCCATGTTCTCAATTATTTTACATTAGAATTTGCTGTTTTTTGGGGTGTTTCATTAAGTTTTGGGCTCTTGATCAAACGTTTAATGATGTCACCTTGTGCTGTTTTCTTATGTTTTATATTCGAAACAATTAATGGATTAATTGAGAAGATAATCAGAAGATTAATCAATTAAGATTAATCAAAGCTAATTGCAGAGAAATCACAGTGAAACGAATTCACGATGTTCATTGTTTTCTGTTCATCCATGGTTACAGTCCAAATAGGAAGTGTGAATCAGGAAGGGCTGAATAATTCAGCCTGACTTTTCATGATGTAGTTTCACCAATATATAAACAAGCTGTGTTTGCCGTCTCCATGGCAACATTGATGATTTATTTGTTAAAGGACAAAGAGATACAGTATGAATCATCATCATCATCAGCAAGTGTTGAAATGACAAATTCCTATTTTAATGTCAGATTAAATACCATATGTTCAGGCTTCATTTCTCTTTTAACAATCAGACATTTTAAATTGATTTTTTTTTTTTAAATTTATTTAAAATTTTTCATTAAATCTTTAAGAAAAGAAGACATTTGCATCTTTAAAATGAGTTCATGTTAGGTGTTCACCCTAAAACTCTTCGTCCTGATCCAGCAAACTGTCAATAAGATGTACTTTTGCAGGTTCGAGCTGAAGAACTTGTTGCTCTGACAACAATTCCAGATTAATTTAAACCTGAAAAATCCAGACTATTTTAATCTAGGTAACTCCAGACCGGGGACCATTCATGTGATACTTAAATATAAATGGGTCATTAGACAGTGTCATGCAAAATCCATCACCACGAGTTCAGAGCAACACTTTATTGTCGGTGTCATAAAAATAGTGATTGTAATTTTAACTTGAAGAAAAACACCACGTGACTCTGATATCGTCATCAGCGTGAGCTTGTTTGTTTATGTCCACGTGGATTGTACAGTATGTGTTTCCTGGATGGTGTCATGTGTCACACTGAGCCACATGCGCTATGTTTGTGTGAGACAAAGTGACCTTGCATGCTCTGGAGAAGATACGTGCAGCATACTGTTGTGTAGCGGCACTAATTTTAATATTTATCCCTCATGTGTAAGAAACACTCTCTTTTTTTTTTATGTTGTCATTAAAATGACTTTCACAACTATAGTAGTGTATTCCTGAGCATTGTAGCATTGTATAGTATGTTCATTTTAAAGAAAATGATACAATATTATGAAAATACACTCTAAAACCTGGCATTTAAATTGTTATTTGACCCTTACATTTCTTTAAAATCAGTACATTTTTAACCACGAAAATATGCACGTGAGTCTTACTACAATGTAAGTACATATTTTTTTACTTTTATATGATGCATAGTTCTTCTGTTGTTGTTGAGACTCTGTATTGAGATCATTTTGGATTTGTTTATTACAATAATATGTGCTGTATAGCAGTTATCTGCTTTTTCATATTCCCAGAAAAGGACTTTGTTCTTTGGTCATTTGAATGTACATAAATGCAAAACACTTATATGAGGAAGCACACACACACACACACACACACAGACCGACTATATATTTGTGTATGTACTCAGAGCTGAAAGCCTTCCTGGTCCTCCTGACCTCAGTCTGCATTTAAATGAATTGCATTTATGGTCCAAGTACTCATTCATGTGCATCTGCCCCGGGCTTAAGTGCTTGTGCAGAATCCTTCCAGTGTGTCAGTTATGTAACAGGTCTGTCACAGTCAACTCCCAGTCCTCCACAGCAGCTCTGACGCTGCTGCACTGACATCCTGTCAGACTGCATCCCACTGTGGTGTCGTACTGTCAGTACTCTCAGGTAGTCAGCAGGAGCTCCATGGGTTGACAGAGAGCTATACCTGCACATAGTAAAACACACAGGAGTCACTCCATTCACGCCATTTTAGAGGCACGACTCTGGATGGTAATGTTGGTCCGTCGATATAAACTGAAACATCTGTCATACATATTTGATGGACTAGGATGACATTTTGTGCAGACATTCATGGTCCCCAGAGAATGAACCCTAACGACTTTGGTGATCCGCTGACTTTTCCTGTAGCACATTCATGATCTTGACATTTGTTATTTTGAGTGAAATATCTACTATTGTTCAAATGTCTACTCTATTGGTTCACATGAATGGTGATCAGGGCTGCCACTAACGACTATTTGAACGATTGATCTATCGACAATATTTTTGCATAGTTGATTAATCTAAAAGATTTATTTTCCAACAGAAAATCTAAATGACACTCTGGCATGATCAATACAAACATTTATTCAAGCAGCTAAAAAACAAAAAAGCTCTCCCTAGTAATGACAAGACAACACTTACAAATGAAGTAATGCTTCACATGTTTGTGACTGATCTCACTGTGCACCATAAAAAAATACTGGGCTCATCCTCCCAAAGTCAGACACTAACCAGCTGATTTTATCTTTATCTTATCCATACACTTATTGATCCAGCTCAGACTCGCAGTGCGACCATATACGATAAATAGAAACTAGATATATGGCGGTTAATAGTGACTGCACACCTGTTGACATCGTCGATTATGGCGACTTATCACGGCGGCACTTGCTAGCTTAGCAACATTAAGGCTTAAAAAATAACCTATAGTGCAATGCTGTAAAGTATTCTCCCCTTTGAAGAAAAGAATATCTGATGTAATGAACACGTAATCGCCTTGTCCTCAAAAATAAAATAAACTTCCACTTTTTTAAACCTAATTTCAAGAAAAATATTCTCATATGTTCACTGTAATACAGAATCCTTTCTCTTCAGAGCGATAGATAATTCTCAGCGTATGTTTTTCCGTTCACACGTCCTGAGAGCTGCACACAAATACTTGCAGTAGGTGCCATGTATTATAACAGTAGGACATCTCTGTATATTGTGGTGTTGTGTTGTCGGTGAGGCTGTGTGGCCTCTGCCAAAGACAACTGGCATGAATAGAGGGAAAAGAGGAAGATAGATGAGACAGTGTCAAAACAAAGGGTTTGCATTGTGTTTATCTGTAGTAATTAGGCTTTACAAAGATGCCTGGCACACACACTCTGCTGTAATTGCAGACCTACAGTTTGCTGAATAATTAAATGCACACAGTGGAGCATGAGTTTTTATTCTCATTTCATTTCTGTAACAAATTTGTACGTTTTTATTGCTCTTGGCTGTAAAAGAGGTTGATCTAATATTAAGTCTTCGTTCACTGATATAAATAGGGTGGACAAAATATTACAAACATCTCTCAGTATGACACAATATATTTCAACAGCACCACAAACTTTAGCCCCTAAATTGATCATACAGTTGAATCAGCACCTCTTTAACACAGTTTTCAATAATAACTGAACATTATAATCCTCATGAAGTGAGGATTTATTGCCGGACTGTTGTATTAGACTACATCAGGTGTAGCTATTAAACTGGCAATTGGGTGTATGTCATCTCAGCAAAAGAAAGGGATGATGTAATTAGGACAGAAACATATTTCTTAGCACATTACCGACTTCTGTACCTCTGAACCTGCAGGACCTCCAAACAGTAGTCACACAAGCCCGTTAGTCCACAAAGTAAATCACAGGAAAAAAGGGCAAAAGAAGAAAATCATGGGAAAATCTTGTGCATTGATGGGAATTCTGTATAAATTTAAATTATGATTCTAACTCTTTCTGTCTTTTAATTCCAGGTCCATTATCCAGATGTGGAAAGAGTGGAGTGGCTGAATAAGGTACATATACACACACACACACTCACTTCATCTCTCTATCCTCGCCCACTAGTGTCCTCTATAGCACATCAGGTGCTGCTAGCCTGTCGGCTAGCACAGGCAGACAGGTAGTGTATATAAATAGGACCTGAATCTGGAGCTGTGATAGACCCTGACCCAGTGCTGCCATCTCCGGAGAGAGAGAGAGAGAGGAGAAGAAGAAGTAGATGAGAGAGAGAGAGAGAGAGAGAGAGAGAGAGAGAGAGAGAGAGAGAGAGCTGTGGAAAGAGAGCTAGAGAGAGCGAATCTGGCACCTGGAGGAGCATCACTTACTGGTAGAGTACTTCCAGTAAAACGTTAATGGACGGGGATGACCAGGAAAATAGCTTTTTAATATCCAAACCTGACGTTATGATGTTCATGTTGTATTTTTCTTTTATGGTTGTTTACAGTTACAGAGAGTTTGATTTAAAGAGGCAAAAGGAAAGAATCTTCCAAAGCACAGAAACGTATGGAAGCTCAGCTCTGCCAGTGGAATAAATAAAATAGTTATGCATGAATGGAAAATGCCCTTATTTTGGTAGCCACAGTGAAAATGAGACAGGAAAGTCAGGGAGAGAGAGAGGGGATGACTCACAGCAAAGAGCCATAGGTCAGACCCGAACCTGGGCCGGCGAGGCCAGAACCAAGCTTTCCTGGCACGCCTTCCACCAGGTGAGCCACCGGGGCGCCCCCATGTGTTTTATATATAGACTCTGTAGTCGTTTACACAGGACTCTGGAGATGATGAGTAGGGAGGAGTGAATGAGTGAGTGATTTTGGACGCAACCCATATTTCCTGCAAATTGACTGGTTGGCGGAGACATACAACCACGAGGTGGTAATTCTAGTTTCCCCACAGTTGATGGACCACACCCCAAAATTACAATGTCAGGTGATGATCAGCAGTGAGAACATTCCTGCATCTTCACTCACGCTCAAAGCTTTTTCTGGGTCACTGAGCAGCAGACGAGAGGCTGAGGAGAGGGACGCTCTGAACTCAAAGCCCTCACAGAGCCAGTATGTGGCTGTGGTACTTTAAAAGATAAACAGATAATTCCCATTATTTATTTTTTTTTACCAATCTTAATTCATAATCTGCAGCTGGAGGAACAGCATGATATAAATATCTTGCTGATACGTTGTTACATTTATAACTTCAATTTAGATCTATAAAAGAAAATCCCTGTCTGTACAGTATCATCTGTCATCTTTGCATATCCAGTGAAAACAAAGTCTGTCAGTTTGTAGATGTGAATATTGAACTGATTTGTTCATTGTTTCATTCACTGTCTCAGTAAATGAGACTGATGCTTTTTAAGCTTGTGTATAAACAGCAGATTATATTGCTGTAAAACTCTGTGTGCGAAAGACAATATGGCTCAGCTGCAGTTCAGATACTTTAATGTGTTGCCATGGAAATAGTTATAGGCCAGTGCAAATATTGATATTTGAGAATTGAAAAACAATCTGATAATGATATATTGAGAGTTATTAACATTCATTAAAGAATTGTGACCAAGATATGTACTAAAATGGACATTTTAAAACTGAAAAATAAATGTATCAGTGTTCTCTGCCTGTATTGAATTTAGTTTTATCATAAAAGGCCTAAAGTGTGTTTGAACTGCTGCTGATGTGTCAGGGTCCCCACGCTTCCTGGAAACCTGGAAAACAGTTGAGCAGTTTTCCACTCATTTAAGAAACACATGGAAAATGAGAGAAAAAGCAAGATGTCCTGGAAAACATTGTGTCGTCCTGTAAAATTCACTCTCCTATTTTCGGGGCAAAGTCATGTTCAGGATCACGTTGACGTTCAAATGGCAGGGTAGTTTAGTGCAGTATAGACTGCACTCATTTAAAATGAGACTTCCACACGTATGAACATATTGGTGTGTGATGTGATTCCTGTCTGTCACATGAGCAAGATCATCACTAAAAATGTCCTGGAAAAGTCCTGGAAAATGATCTCTTGAAAAGAGTGGAAATCCTGTGTGTGTGTGTGTGTGTAAGTGTATATATATAAGAAAAAAGGTGTTTGCCTATTTGCTGTAATGTTATAAAATACAGTGGGAAGACTTCATTTTGGCTGCTGACTACTTGTGAAGTGCATTTGTCAATATCTTTTATACATTAAATAATTAGTTGCTTAACTGGAAGAAAAATCACCAGTGGAGTCACAAGTTAAACAAGAATATTCATAAGTTTTAACCCTAAATATTAGAGGAAGATATAATGATCATCATTTATCTGTCCAGTATTGATACAGCACACTGGTCTCTGCGTTGTTCTGCGTTGTTCAACCAAATCAGTTTGTTGCAACATAACTGTCTCCGAGCCCGCAGTAAAATCAGTTTTCTGCGGCGATGACAGGTGTGCATCAGCTAACAATGTTCCCCAGTAGGTGTGTCAAGTCATCTGGAAAGAGGTTGTATTTTCAGCCAGACCATGTGATATTTTTCTAATTCTTTCTCTCACCCCCCCCCCCCCCTCTTTCTGCATCTTTCCCTCCTCCCTCAGACGGTGAAGCAGATGTGGCCGTTCATCTGCCAGTTTGTTGACAAGCTGTTCAGAGAGACCATCGAGCCTGCGGTGAAGGGCGCCAACCCGCATCTCAGTTCCTTCTGCTTCACCAAGATCGACATGGGCGACAAGGTGACGAGACGACAACAAGCGTAATGCTTTGTAAAGTAGTTTGAGTTAACACTGAATCGAAAGCTCAGAAACAAAATAACACAAGACAAGAAGACGAGTGTGACACCTACAAAAACTACTTCTGCCTTTATTAGTTGTGCTAGTTCCAGCTCTATTTTAGTAATAGAGCTAGTACGAGAAAACTAAGAAAATCGAACTAATAAATTGCAAGTTGATTCAGACTATGTATCAAAAAGGTTTTCAAGGGAATGCAAGGTACATATAATACTGTAAGACAAAGAGTCTACAGCTCTTTGTACTTTAAATTGTAAGGATATTTCCAAAAAGGGTTAGTTGCTAAGGTTATTAAATACAAGCTCATTATATTTGAGTTTTTAGGGGAAAAAAAGGGAAATTATGTCGTAGGTAAGTGAGAAATATTCCATACACACACATCAATATCCATCAGAGTTTCCTAGAAAAACTGACAAAAATTCAGTCTTTGAGTCCACTTCACTGCATTAGTCCTGGGACAGAGGCTGGTACCAGTTATTTAAAGGTCCCATATTGTATAAAGGTAGATGTCCATGTGTTGTTTGAGTATAAAGCAGGTCTAGGTTCTGTATTAATACTGTGAAAGTATCAAAGCGCTCAGTCCACAGAGAAATGCACACAGCCTGTATTCAGAAACTGAGCCTTAAAACCAGTTGTCAGGACTTCTGGAACTTTGTGATGTCACAACAAAGCAGTCACCGCTCTCAGCCATGCCCCAAGCCCCACCGACCCAGACACACAACCCAATTTTGCAGGATTAGGTTTCTCTGAGTGTTTTCCTGAAATCTGCTATATTCTTATTAAATCACTCAGAAAACAGTCAGAGAAGAGGCTCTGAGCCTCTCTTCTGATTGGCTCACTGACCTGTTGTCACTAGAGCTCCAGAGAGAAGCCTGAGAGAGGAGATGTAAAACTACATTCAGGTGGTTTTTGGTTCTTAAAACCACAAATATATCTTCTAATGGATCAACACTTCAAATAAAACACAGGAGAAGAGGAAGATATGGAGCTTCATGAGAGAAAAGAGTAGGAGTAGATTAATCTGAAAAGTCTGCACCACTAAAGGAAACAACAAAAGAAGCTGTAATAGTCACTGTGATGGGCGATCTGGAAAAGAAGTCTCTGGTAGATTTCGAAATATGAAATGCTGTTGTATGATTAAGAAACAGTTTAGCAGCAATGGAAAGTGTTATTAGTTTCACAAGTTGGGCTAAAACATGCACAGTTACTCTGCTGCTCGTGGCTTCTTTCAAACTGTAGGTGTTTAGATCTTTTATTGGCATGTTTCTATATTTGTCTGCTTTGTTGCTGCTGAACTTCCATGACTCGCATGAGCTGAATCTTCTATTTTCTATTACATTTTTTTGCCTGAGAACAAAAGCAGAAAAGTGAATCTGGATTTCAATTGGACCTGTTTCTTTCCTTTCTGACTTAAACCGCACACTGACCCAGATTTAGCTCACGTGTCAGAGCAGAGCATTATATGTAGGTGATCTGGGAAGGTTAGTCCAGAGTCTGGGTCAGATATAAGAGAGATTTGCTCACCTGTACCTGTTTTTATCATATCTGTGTCTCTGCAGCCGCTCAGAGTGAACGGGGTGAAAGTTTACACGGAGAACGTGGACAAGAGGCAGGTCATCATGGACCTGCAAATCAGGTAACAGTAAACCTCTGACCAAACCATCCCTCAAACTCTTAGCTTAACCACTGACTGCTTGTAATTTATAAAGTATGATGCTGGTAATAATGTAGATATTTTTCTTATTGTCAACAAATCCACTAAAAAGACCACAACCCAGCTCCAATCCCACTGGATCCTAACTGTGTTATTTAAATCTTTAAAAACAGAATATCAAATGTATCCATTTAGAAAAAAATAGTTTTTGCTGTTTCTTGCTCTTGGTAGAACAACATGAAACCAGGGCTGTGCTGTGTATCTACAGTTTTTCTTTCCCATCATGATGCGAATCCTCTAATTGCACTTTGTCTTGCTCTCTCTTTCAGTTTTGTCGGGAATACAGAGATCGACGTGGACATCAAGAAATACTACTGCAGGGCTGGAATCAAAAGCATACAGGTGTGAGAGTAGTGTGGATGTCAAAATGCCGTGTGGTGATGCAGTTTTGTCCAGAGTCATATAAAGGGAAATGATAGGTCATGTCTGTGTCACTAGATTTACGGACAGATCTCTGCCATGTTGTTACCGTTTAATTTAGTGCTGAATCATCAACAGCTTTTGAAAAATAATAGATCATTTAAGTCAGTTTCCAGCTTCTCAGATATGAGGATTTGCTGCTTTGCTCTGGATATTTTTGGCTTTAGAGCCATTGATGAGACAGTTTTTCTGACATTTTATACAATTAAAAGAAAATCGACAGTTCAATTGATAACGGAGATAATCAATCGCCGAACTTCACAGACAACGTCCCTCTCATGTATGTAAATCAATCTTACTGTTTATAATTTAATAATCACATGATAACAAAAGGTTAGGGTGAAGGGATCATAGATATATAGAAACATAAAAATGAATAATTCAAAAAATATGTTTTATGGATGCAACTAATGATTATGTTTCATATAGTCAATATTTCATAAACAATCATAATGAAATAAGTGCATATTATGTCATAAAATAGTGTAAGACCATCAGTTACCAAAGGTAATGTCATCAGATTATTTATTTTGTCTGGCTAAAAGTCAGAGATTCAATATCAAAAATTCAATTTACAATGATGTAAAACAGCTGATAATAAATCCCTCTGCACATTTTCATTGATTAAAAATTTTCTTGATAAATTTTCTTGATGAAGATATTCGCAAATCCAAATGTCTCAGGTGCAGGTGTGTCACGTTAAAACTTGACATAATCACATCCACCAAAACAAAATGAACCAAGTGTATTTAAATATATTAAGACAAAAAAAAAGTGCCAATAGTTTCAGAAAGAGACTTTATTGATGGTAGCCCTCACTCCTTCAACCACGACCGCCACATTAACCCGTGACCTCTCCAGAGACACTTTTACATAATGTGTTGACAGAGGACTGATAAAGGCAACGTTATCCACTCAGCTGCTGGCAGAGGATCAGGCCATATTTGCTGTTCAGAGATCAGAGAGGGAGAGAAAGTGAGCAGGGAGAGGAGACGGAGGGAAGATTTACAGAGAGAAACGACTACATGTGCGATGCTGAGTCAATATTTGCCTTTGTGTATGGTTTAGGTTTTGCAGCTGCAGTCCCCGGGCTGTGTGTCAGATGAAGGAATAAGTAGTTCAGATGCCAAAGACGTTAACTTAGAGCTTATCGTGAATGACGAGACATGCGGCTAGACGGTTCTTCTCTCAATGGCTGTCAGACTACATCAACTTTCTCGCAACGTCTGTTCCTGCAAAAATAAAGCTCCATCCTCTGGTTAGACTAATTCCTCACACAGCATTATCTGCTGCACACGATTTACAAAGCGTCCGCCTTCAGGCAGGAGCGAGCCATGGGAGGGGAGTGAGGATAAACAAAAGGCTATCTGCAATCTTTCCATTGCACCCATTTTGATGAGCAAAATGCTGGTATTTGATTACTCAGAGGGAGCTGCAACCAAATTTGGTGCTGCAGCCGGGCAGTCTACATATCTGAGGTTTGAGTCACTGCTTAATCCTCCTCCTCCATAGTAATGAAAAGCTCTGAGGGGGAAACATTCACTCACATAACATTTCTCAAAAATCAGCAGCTACAGCATGTCTGCAGTCACAGTTTAACATAGAAAAAAAATAATCTTTAACCTCCACCAGCTCTGCTGTATTTATCACTTTTTCATATGAGCATTGATGGTTAACTTAAGTCCCGGATCTTAGCAGCTTTTCACAGTCTGATATTAGTGGATGCAGCCAAATGCTGCAGACTCTGGTCTTGTTCATGTGTTTCAAATTGCATAATGAAATGAGGGTGAAGTAAGATAAAGGAGGATATGTCATCAAATTAAAGACCAGACGAGCAACAGATGTAGGGCATAATGCTGAGATCAGACTGTACATTATCAGACCAGGACTGGCATGATCCACCAGGAACAGAAACCAGTGTCGTGTGCGACAGATGTGCGTTTTATTCTGTGTATCGTTGCGTAAGGTTGGAACATGCCTCTCCAAGCAGGGCACGGCCGCTTCTTTTACACTCGTGTGTATTTACAAGTTTACAGGAGTTGGACCAATCAGCTCGATGCACAATTCTTGGTGAGATTTAGGGGTGGAGAGCTCTACTCTACCCACAGAGTCATTTATGGGTTTCATTCGAGAACCATAATTTCAGCCATAGTGGAAATGGAAGACGTCCTGTTTGGTGTCCAGGGCTGAAAATGGAAACTCGAATATCTACCCACATTCAAAAATTCAGTTTTCTCTGTTTTCTTATTCTTTCATCAGATAGTTCCTGATTTAAATCCAGTTTTTACCACTTTAAGACTATTTTATGGAGGCAAATTTCTCATACAGCTGCTTGTGTTTAAACAATATTTAACATTTGAGAAGTTTGGTTTCTTCTGATAAATTATGGACAGGGTTTTATGGAAAAAACATGTTTCTGCTTCTCAAAGAAAAGGATCAGAAGGCACAGTGTGATACCAAAACTCAAACAATAGCGGCTCGACGAGGCCCATCTCTGACACGACTTCCAAATTTTCTTACGTAGTTTGATAACATCCGTGACCATTCCTGATCCCAGAAGTCTGTCTCAGGCCTCTCCTGCTGTTTGCATGGTCATGCAGGTCATGGGAGATCTCAAGTAATGACTCAGCTTGTAGTTTGACCTGTGTGTTGGCCTCACTTTCACAGGAGGAAACAACGGCGCCATGATCGTGTAATCTTACATAATGATGATAAAACGCTTGAAAAACAGCTGAAAAAGTACAAATATATTGGTACATGCGGATGAAATTTGGAGCTGTGTGAGGAGGACACAGACATCAGAATCATTGAAAATTAACGTGGCTAACGTTGGCAGCAGTTAGCAACACTAATGGGTAACGGACCTGTAATAATAACTGGTAATTATGTTTTTTTTTTTTTCTCGTCCAGCTTCATGGAGTGATGAGAGTGGTGATGGAGCCTCTGCTGGGGGACATGCCTCTGATCGGTGCCCTGTCAGTCTTTTTCCTCAAGAAACCAGTGAGTACCTTGACCTTTGACCTTTAACCTCATCCTCAGACTGTGGCTAGATCCTAAATGTTCTGAATGTTCACCCTCCAGACTTACAAAGCCCTCAGGGACTTTTACAAACAGAAAATGAAGAGCCTGCACATTTGTGTTTGTTGTGGCTATCCTAGTCCTGCCTCCCTGGAGTTTTTAAGTGATTGTGGGTTTCTTACTCAGGGGCACTTCAGCAGATGGGTTATGGGTGTTTTAAACGCCCAGATACACGGCTATGATTATGCTCTTTTTGCTGCAGCAGTAATGCCAGTAACATCCTCCCATCATTTACCTCCAACTGTTTGGTTTCTGAAGGAATATATCTCTGCTTCTACTGTAAAGTTCTACCAAACACAGCATCTTCCTGAATGCTGCCCAGCTTCACTCCTCCTTTATCAATGCATTCCTTCTCCCTGACTGCGGTCTTCCTTCCTCTCCCTAAACACATTTTATCTGCTAGATTCTGGCTTTGATAACCCGCACCCACAGGAAAAGAATCGCCATCAAAAGCCTCAAAAAGAGACGTGAAATTGTCCCTTCCCCTCCTGAAATGTATTCAGTCTGAAATTAGAAGAAGGAGGAGTCAATTATAACAGCAGCAGTGATCTGTGGTGAAAATTTAAGCTTGTGGTTCTGACATGAACCAAAAAAAGTCTGGGCGGCTACGAGTGATTTTATCTTTTTTCTTCCATCATAAGCTGTTGAGCCAGGCGTGAAGATCGCAGGCAGGTTTCTGCACAGATGATGATGATATGATGATATGTGATCAGGCAGAGGTTGTAAAATGAGAGAAAATTAGAATCAGAATCAAATTTTTTGCACAGAAATATCACCTCCTTTACTAGGTGTGGCCTGTTTGAGTCATGAAACACTCTTTTAGTTCCTCTTTTCCATATTGCGAATAACAAATATTTATCATTTTAATTTTTGGTATGACTGCAAGTTTCTTTGTTATGCACGGAGCATCAATTGATTATTAAACTATTAATTATACTTTTACTCTATCAATTATTCCTTTGCATCAGTGACCCCCTCCCCTCACATACAACATAGCTGCATATTTTTTTTGTTTGTGTAGAAACACTATTACATTATGTGCAGAGTGGAGTTAGCTAAACATTTAAGCTAGCTAGGTAGAAAAATCATCACTATCAAAAAGTAGGTTGTTCATGTCACACATTGCGTGTTGGCTATTTCAGATGTCTGTTAAGTGAGCGACAGAATCTTTTGAACTTTGACTGGAACTTTTCAGAATAAAAGCTTTCAATTAGCTCAAAATAAAGCACTGCTGCAAAAAAGAAAAACAAACTTTCTCACGCTTTTATTTTGTAGACAAAATTGCTATAGAGAAAGTGATTATGTGGGTAACTGTTGCTGCCATGACGACCTATTTTAGCCATCCATCTGACTACAGTGCAGCCCATGACCTGAATCTTAAGTGTTTGTGTCTGTCATTCAGTCCGATACTAAAATAATCTGGCCAAAACATCACTTCTGTTACACCTGATATACTTTAGGCAGGTTTACTACGTACTAGAAAAGCTCTCAAACTGCCACGGTAGACACCAGTGTAAAAATGTAAAAGCTTTAACAAATACAGTAGATTAGAAATACAGTATGATCATATCAGTCTCCTCTCATACCGGGTGCATGTGGACAACAGCAAAAAAAACATAGAGACCCTGCAAAAAGAAAGAATTCAGATTGAAGTTCGGAGACAATTCATTAGATTCATACAGTCTGCTGAAGGCTTAAAAGAAGAGAAAGAACATTCAGCAATACTTACTACAAAGGGCTGTAAAGACATTACTGTTCAGCATGAACTGATAATCATACAGATATTCAGAAAACCTGTCCAGAGACAACCTGAATACTAACTCAGCTACTACAGCTACTTGCAACAATAGACCAAGTGATCCAGCTGAGCAGCTGAACGTTACTGGTGTTCGGTTGGTTGTCGGTGGTATTTCCCCATCCTGTTCCTCCCTGTGGTCTGCTGTCGTGTTGTGGCAGGTCACCTGGCTGCACGCCGACAGCTGTGTTCTGACACTGGCTCATCAGGAAGTCGAAGTATTGGTGTCACTCACTATCAGACAGCTTTAGACAGAGAGACGAGAGTTAACCAGGCAATAAAAGCCTGGGTCAGAGAGGTTTGTGTTGTCTTTAAATTACAACCCAAATTGTATGTTTGAGGGTTATTTTTATGGATAGCAATGGTGTACTGGTTGGTCCACCACTTTTCTCCAGACTGAAATATCTAGAATAACTATTTGATTTGTCATGAAACTTTGTACGGACATTAATGGTGTCTAGAGAAGGGATCGCAATGAATTTGGTGAGCAGCTGACTTTTCCTTCAGAGCCACCGTGAGGTCGACATTTGTGGCTTTTAGTGAAATATCTCAAGAGCTACTCAACTCAAACTGAAATTCAAAATCCGTTACGAAACTACATTTGTGTAAAATCTTCAGAGCATACACAACACATAGTTGGAAAATCAAAAACAAACACAAAACAGAGTAGACAACAAACAGCTACAGCTTAGCTTGTGTAAAAATTATGAAATTTGGTACACGCTTGCCTTCCAGGATGAATTATTAATAAGTTATTATACAGCTGAAGCAGGAATCTTAAGCATGCAGGAGTCTTAAAACCTGGAGATTAGTTGCGTTTTTATCACTTCATGTTCCCTCGTCCCAGATGCTATGGGCTATATTTTACATTTTATTCAACAACATAAAATACTTCAGTAAATACCCCAGTCGTGACTCTTTTTTTTATGCTTTTATGGCGCTTAAAAAACGCTGGTTGCTAACAGGTGTCTGAGTGAGACTACAGAGGTTGTAGGGGATGTTAAACATCATCAGGTTGAACATGAAAACCGATCTACTCACCAGTCCACCTTTACACCTCGTGTTTATACAAACTGTTACTAACTGTTACTGTAAGAGGAAAGACTTTTGTAGAAGAGATCAGAGCTAAATCAAACTACAAGTTGAAGTTCAGTGGTGGTGATGTTGAAGTCATGTGACCACGGTGCAGTTGGTTTATAGGCTAACATTTTACTTCTGCTGATTGTATTTTAGGCTTCAAACATCATAGAGTGGTGCTCATTAGTCAAGATTATCCTGCTGAACAAAACCTTTAAGTATCATAAACCTTTGTTTGTAGGAGTTTATTCTAGCAATAATCCAAAATCCAGTGTAAAACTTCCAATGGCTTTTTGTAGAGGGAACCAGGGTGATGTGATACTAACACCCGGGTTGACCTATAAACATTTTCACTCTAATTCTTAATAGTATCACAGCCATAATCAAAGAGCCTTCAGAGAACCTCAGTTGTCAGTATAATAAAGAACAAACACACTGTTAATTCAGTATTAAATCCTAGTTAATGATATTTAGTAGAAACTGTCGTGAGTTTCTTTGCAGCTTTCATTGTCTTCCTGTGCCAGGCGGCAGAACGGCATTGTGGTCCACTGTGGTCTACATCTCGTGCGCTAACAAGGCCACAGAAAGACACACGCCCACTCCACTCTGCTACACACATACACACACACACACACACACACACACACACACATGCATGCCAGCAGTCACATGCACACATATACTGTGCATGTAACTTGCCTGTGTGCATGCAGACTAACAAAGACACTGGAGGGGGTTTTACACAGGGATTAAAGGGGAAACTCCACTGATTACACACATCATTATGAATTCACTGCTCATGGTTAGTTCAACTCCACAAACTGTCTGTGTTACAAAACAGACTTAGAAAAACATGGACGTCTAGCAGGAAGGAAGTATCTGACGTAAAGTGCAGGATCCAGTGTTTCAGGAGCTTGACCCATACCAGGGACTAAAAGTCAGCAGATCTCTGTCTATGCTGCACAGATTCTGACTTTTTTTTTATTTATTTTTTTTTATTTCTCCTTTGTAAGCCCCCCGTGTGTTTCCTGTTGATCTGACTGACAAAGGAAAGTTAGTTGATGTGTAAACATAAAGTTTGAGTCTGAGTTTTCAGTAGGAGCAAACTCCAACCTAACTGATTTTCCTGCTGACCTTATTTTATTAAAACCGTTACAGTAGTTCTGCCTGTTCCTTCCTGCTGAAGTTGTTTATGCCAGATTTTATATACCTCAGTGTAATGCTTAATAACTTCTCATGCACATATCACAGATTCATGGCTTCAGTTGAAATTTAAACCAGACCTTTCTTCCTTAAAATCTGCTAATATTCCACATGTAGCTCGGTGTTACAAAAGCAGGTTGAGCAACTAAACGTCCACAGACCTTTAACTTTTAATTGTAGTCCACATAATAACCTGTCCAGATAAAAAATAAAGTAAAAATATGTGTGTGAAGTTATTGACAAGACATGCAGGATTTTAAATTTGAGATAATTCCTGTTGAAAAAATAGTCTTGGATTTTAGTATGTAATTGAATATCATGCATTTATAATAATAATATTTATGAACAAGCACCTGAAAAATAATAAATGTGTAAATTTTATGCATTTAGGTTTTTACATCTAGTTATTTTGCCTTAGTTTGATTCTCTCAGTACAATAATAATAATAATGATAATAATAATAAGATTTATTTACATAGCACCTTTCAGAACATAGTTACAAAGTGCTTTTAACAGGACAAGATAAAATTGAGGACGAACAATAAGAAATAAATGATGAAATAAACAGATTTAAAAACAGTTTAAAGGGAGGAGATGTAAGAGGAAAAGTGTGACAATGAGATACAGTGAACATGAGATGGAACAATCTGAAATTATTAAATTAATCGATAAAAACAGGACAATGACTTAATATGATAATAGATATTAGAATATATAATAATAGATTTAAGAAGTTAAACGTAAATTCAGACCCCAGGCCCTGAGAAAACACACCTGTAACAATATGTCTTTAAGAGGGATTTAAAAGAGGCTAAAGAGCTCACCAGTCTAATCTGCTCAGGGAGGTTGTTCCAATGAGCGGGGCCAGAGAGAACAGAGAGGTTCCGGTCCCCCTCTGTCTTCAGCCGAGACTGTGGAATAGTTGACAGAGCTTTGGCTGAGGACCTCCAGAGCAGGACCTTTAAAGTCATCAGTAAAATCTTAAAATCAATTTTGCCATTTCTCATTTCTGCACATGTGCAGCTATTTCCTCACTTTTCCTCATCGCTCCTCGTTTGCTTCAGCTGTAATAACTAACAGCTTCCAGTGACATTTTAAGCCTCTTTTATAACCTTTTTCAGCTCTGCAGTCATGCTTAATCTCAGACATACTGACACACACACACACACACACACACAATCTTTCTCCCTCTGACTCTCACCCATACACATGTTCTTCACATTGTCAGTGATGTATTTAAAAACACAATCACACGACATCAGGTCGTTCTGTTAAGTGTAGATATATGTCAACCCTGACACCTGGCACCCCGCTCACACTCCTTTTATGGTCAGTGGGCTGGTGTTATTTTGAGCTGGGTGCCTTCCCAACGTGACTCTGGTGATTGTCTTATGAACTAAACTTTACAGTGTGTGTGTGTGTGTGTGTGTGTGTGTGTGGGTGTGTGTGTGTGTGGGTGTGTGTGTGTGTGGGTGTGTGTGTGTGTGGGTGTGTGTGTGTGTGGGTGTGTGTGTGTGTGTGTGTGTGTGTGTGTGTGATGTCCGAACACTGAGCAACAGTGGCTCCACATCTGCAGCAGGAGCACACCGCAGGCTGAGGCTGTGGGAAGCGGACACTCCTGCTCCTCGGTCATGACTGATTTGTTTACTCTGTGAAAATCAATTCAGCCTGATTATCAGGACAAAGAACCTTCCAGTCTCATCCTGTCTCACTCAGGCCTGATAGTCACTGGTTTTCTGCCTCCGTGCATCGACAAAAAGACGCTGCTGTTGCTGCTACTACTGCAGACTCGGATGCTGCTGATGCTTACAGTATGCTAATGCAGCTGATTTTACCACCGCTTAAACTGTCCGCTACTACGAGTGTCAGTGATATGGAGACAAATGCAAAATCAAGTTTATGTTTACAGCAATGTTTCACTGCTGTGCATTACATTTTTTTTAAAACACTTCCAACTCTAATAAGATAAAAAACCCTCAGTTACTCAGTCTGGCAGAAGTTGTTCCAGCTACTCCTGTAATTTGGGTCTGAAATGAATGACTGAATGAATTACTTTCTTTTTTTTATATACATATATATTTTGGGGCTTTTTATGCCTTTATTGGATAGCACAGTAGAGAGAGACAGGAAATGGGGAGGCAGAGAGAGGGGGAATGACATGCAGTAAAGGGCCGTCCGACGCGGGATTTGAACTGGGGCCGACTGCAGCGAGGACTGTAGCCTCTACACATGGGGCACCTGCTCGACCCACTGCGCCACTCGACGCCCCGAATTACTTTCTTTTATGATCAGTCAGTGAGTTGTTTGGCCCATAAAACATTAGAAAACAGTAAGAAATGTCCATCGCAATTTCCAAGATCCCAGGATGACGTCATTAGATGTCTCAATTTGTCCAACCAACAGTTGACAACACCAAAATATTTCATTTATTTTTAGCAAAACAAGGAAAAGCAGCACATTCTCAAAATCTGAGAGCAAGAAAGTATCAAATTTGTGGCATTGTTTCGTGGAAAATAACTGCTGCTACTAAAGGTATTTCCTCACCGAATCTAAATGTAGGTTTTAGACATTTGCGTGAATCCAGACACTTAGTTAAATCCTGTTGCGTTGATTCTCGCCTATGAAGAGTTGTGCTGCTACTTCCAAAATTTTATCAGCTAGAAGTGAAAAACGGTATGAAAAAAAAAACAAACCTTCTTTTCATTGTGAGCAACAATAATTTATTGGCTCTGAAGTAATAACCCTGTGATCCTACCTCAGATACCTGTCAGTGAATCTCACCACCCTCTGGTCCTCTTGAACCCTGGATTTTTCTTTTCTCTATCAAAAAGCATGAAAAGCAGAATGTCACCAAAACTCAACTTCAGCTCATCAGATGTGCATAAAGAGAGGAAACTAGTGTGTGATGTCATCTCAGACGTGTTTCTGCACAGACAAATTAGCATTTCCACATCAGAATGAAAAATGAAAAAAGCTTCCACAGCTGCTATTTAGACAAATACTACTGCTCCATCACCATATGAAGAACTGCTACTACACTGCCTTCATCACTCATGTCCCTACTAGTTTTACTCCTGCTACTGTTACTACTGCTACTACTACTCCTGTTCTAGCTCTGCTGTTGTTTGGGCTTGATAGATAGATAGATAGATAGATAGATAGATAGATAGATAGATAGATAGATAGATAGATAGATAGATAGATAGATTGATACTTAATGTATCCCCTAGGGGAAATTCATGGCCGAGCAATATGCAGGAAAAAAAATCATAGTGCGATTATTTTTGGCAGATATTGCGATTATGAGTCAGGATTTCAGTTGGAACGGTCATCTTTACGTTTTATTTTGACAGAAGAAAATTTAAAATGATGATGATGATGTGATTTTTGTTGGGTGTTATACCAAACAAACATGTTCCTCTACGTGTGGAGAATATGATTTGTAAGGCCAGGGCGTCTCTGTAGCACCCGGGGCGTCTCTGTAGCTGACAGCAGCAGTATGCATGATGTTCAGTCTGCGTTGCACAGTACGTGCGCTGTGAGTCAGTCTAGTTAATTACCCAATCCGGTTCCTCAGGTAACCTACTTTCATGTTCAAGTCTATAAGCCTTGTAACCGGGATAAAACCAGGCTAAGGTCCCGTTCTGAACATGAGAATGCTGGTTTACATACCTTTGCGATTCCTTTGAGAGGCGTGTGAGGAGAACATGTTACCGCCTGCAGTGTTGGGGTTTCATCATCTGTGCACAAAGTGATGAAAATGTGCACATAATTCAGGGCAGCTTGTACAATGAATGAAAACATTGGGAAGAGCAGCACCTCCTATGAGGATTAGCACTATATCCTCACATACGTGCAGTCTGTCCTTTCTGTGCTCGAACAATAAAATCAGGCTCCACTGAAGGAGAACTAGCAGTTAAACCCACGCTGCCTAATCCAAGAACAGTGTTCATTGTTCGTGTCGCCTCTGCTGCCTCTGCTGCCTCTTACATCGCTCATTGTTTGTGATAATGTTGCTGTTGGATTTTGCAACATTGAGAAACAGCTTTTCCATTTAGTTTAGTCACATCAAGGAGCTAAACTGAGTCAAATTAGACCACGGACCCACATCTGATGAGAGTTTTGCTTTTAGATGTTTAAGAACAGGAAGTGTTTGAAACCCATGACCAAAAGAGTCATTGTGTTACTTATGGATGGAAATAAAGTGGAACCCCCTCAAGGACCCCTGGACCTCACTTAGAGAACCACAGTGTTAGAGCATGTGTCAGCTTCCCTGGTGCTTTTGGATTTTTTTTTTCATAGTCTAAATTATATTATTTCCTTTGTCTTTCAGTTGCTGGATATCAATTGGACAGGACTCACAAACATGCTGGACATCCCTGGTGTCAAGTAAGTTCCTGTGTGTCATGTGTTGTGTGTGTTGTGTGTGTGTGTTGTGTGTTGTGTGTGTGTGTGTGTGTGTGTGTGTGTGTGTGTGTGTGTGTGTGTGTGAGTGTGTGTGTGTGTTTTTGTATTTTTCTCTTAAAGTAATCTATTTCCTTTTGCATGTCTGTGTGTTGTTTGTTGTTGTTGTCTCTGCATCCACTGGTTTTAATTAGAATTAATCAGTTTATTACACACACACACACCCAGATTCCTTTGATAATCATGACCAGGTGGCTTCACACAGTTCCTCAGGGAGCTGGTCATTAGAGAGGGCAGCTGTGGTGTGTGTGTGTGTGTGTGTGTGTGTGTGTGTGCTGTCTGTCTGTCTGTCTGTCTGTCTGTGTAACAGAGACATGATGTCATGACTGGTCCTTTTTGTCTTCATGTGGACGTGCTGCTCTCACACTGTGTACATCCACTGTGTGGTTCACAGTTGACTAAAATACAGTGTTTGCACAGCACACACACACAGGCACACACACACAGGCACACACACACAGACACACGCACATACTACTTATAATTATAAAGACACAAGTTTAAGGGAGGTTGTTGCCTCCTCTTACCTTCAACCTCTGACCGCGCTGCAGAGGTCAGAGGTCACTGTCTAATTCAATATTTATTTCCTCATCTGTCATGAGAAGAATAAGAGAATAGAATACTTCACCCTCACAGTAGACGAGATGAAAACATTATTGTGTCTCAGATCCACAGGCTCTAACTGAAACACCGGGAACATTACTGGAGCTTGAAATGACTTGAGAGTGTACAAATTCAAATTCCTCATTCAAATGACACAGAGCGGCTCTACGTACAGAGAGCCATTGAGCACTCAACATGATTTATTTCTCTGTGTGACTTACACACAGACACACCTCACATTATTACATTCCTCTTCTTTCATTTCTCCTAAACCACAAAGAACCCTCCTGCAATACTTCTACCTGCTGAGTTTGCATCTGCATCTTTTCATACGAAAGAAATGAAGGAAATTAAGAGGTTCTGTTTTAAGTTTGTCTGCTGAGCTAATGGAAATGTTAATAGAGGCAGATGTGGCACAGAGTGAGGTTCGCTGCCAGTGGCCAACCGCTGGGGGAACTCGGTATGTCATTGTCAAAGTCTGTGGCACAGGACAGCGTGCACTGGTAAAGAGACATTAATACAAATGTGTGTGTGTGTGTGTGTGTGTGTGTGTGCTGTGCAAACAAGTGAGATGACAAAGCTTTTTTTTTTTTAAGTGTGTGAATAGGTGCCATCTTGAAAAGGATAATCTAGTTCTCGTTATACATCCACGGTTCAGCTTTAATCCACATTTTTAATTTGCATATTGACAAAGAGACGTTGTTTTTCTCTCCTCGTCCTCTTCCCTCCTTCTCTTCTTCCATCACAGTTTTGTTTGTGGTTCTGTAATTTTAAAAGACCCAGTTTTGCAAAGTTCGCAGCCTGCCACGCTGTTGCTCCTGCGTTGTGTCTGTGTGTGCGAATGACTCAGCTAAAAGTGCAGTGAGTCCGCTCGCTTACGGGGGCCCTGAGAGCTCAACACTCTGCAGCTTGAGAAAACACATGCAAATAGACAAAAACACAAACAAATTCACCTAATTTCCTCATCAGTTTGAAGCATGTGTCCTGCAAATACTCACAACACAAGCACTTAGTGAAACAAGTAGCACATACGACAACAGACGCAAAAAAAAAAACAGATGCGCTTGTTTCCTTTCCTAACCACTTCTCATCGACCTCAATGGAAAATGTCATGAGGTCAAGTAAGAGATGTGAAGGAGACTTCCTGAGAAAATTCATTTTTAGTGCATGACACATTGGGAGGGGATTTAAATTAGGTTACATTTACATTTAGGTATATAGTATGTTGTTGTGATGATGATATAATTACATACAAATTCAATATGCCTGTCCCTCAGGATGACTCCTAACTGCATTTCAAAGAGAACAAATCTGGATTTATGGATTTGGAGCTCAGTTTTGGATTGTGTCACAAACATAAAACAGGTGCACTGTTTGGTTGTTGGTCTGCCGTGGTTAAACTAGTGGTGCGTCGCCTGCAGCAAGGAATTATGGGACGGCATTATGTTCTTTCTATTTGTAAAGGAAGGTCCAGTGTTTCTTATGCTAAAGGAGATAAGATAGGAAGCACTGAAGCTCCTTTCCTCAGCGTTTAGAGAATTTTCGTCATTTCACTCAGTTAGGAACCTCGCTAAAGCAAAAAAGATTTTTTCGACCACAGCCAGGTCCATCACTTTTTTGTGTCCCCCTGGAAACACTTCCAATGTCGTCTGTGGAACTTGTTTCTGTAATTGCTTGTGTAGTGAGTATCTGCAGCACACGTGTTGTCAAATTGGTGAGAATGTTTTCTGTATTTGCTTGTGGTTTTTTTAAGTTGCAGTGCTTAAAAAAACTCTCAGGGCCACTCGCTGCACTTATTCCGTGTTCTTTTTTGGTTTTGTTTTGTTTGTTTGTTTTGTTCGCAGTAGTAGTAGAAGTTCTTTTTCTTCTTCTCACCTGCTGCATCGACTCATCGACTGTCAGGGGACAGTGCTAAAAGTAACTTCAGTGTCTTTAACTGTGTCACTGGAGCACCATTAATTATTTAATCATGCCATGTCCCCAAGAATATATTTGCATAATGATGCAGCAGTTGATGGAAAGACACATATGATTTACACTTTTTGAATTACTACACAGAGAATTTCAACGCAACTTGTGCCCAACACAACGTTTTAATAGAAAGATGACTGAAGAGTTCTTTTTAAAGCAGGAAAGCTTTTTCTAACCCTACTGTTGTGTTCCAGCATACAGGAAGTAAAGAGAAGCATGTTGCTTAAATCTTGGTTAGAAAAACATCACATCTGATCACGCTGAACCCTTTAGCAGTAGGAAAACTAAAATCAGAGTGCTTTTTGGAGCATGCAGTAGCACATCCTTCCCGTTTGACATAATGAGAAAATGACACCGGTGCTTTGAAGAGACGATCCCAGTGGACACGCAGCCAGAGCGGCCTATCAGGCTCTCAGGCTCTGCTGCTGCTGAAACCATTACATTAACCACCGGATCACAGAATGGATTATGACCTGTATTTTTCCCCACTAAGTGTTGGTATTTTTAGTAACGCGATTATGAAAGAGAGAGAGAGAGAGAGAGAGAGAGAGGGCCGCCGCAGACTGAGATGCGACGCTGGGCGGGTTTGGGAGAAGCTTTTCCAGACAGGAGTTCTGTCAGTGCCTCGTCAGTTTCTATGTCATAGGATTTTTTTTTTTTTATGTCAGATGAAAGTGGAAAGTACACTCGCCACATCCAGACAGAATGCACGTTGAAAGGTTATTAGTTTAAAACTCTATTGCTTCATTTGCTTTCCCTCGTGGCTTCGCTCTGGTGTGTGCGCCAGTGAGTTAACTTCACAAGGACCTTCACCAGGTCTGAACGTCCTTTGCCAGTCACTGTTGTCTCATGGGGCGGCTGTGGCTCAGGATGCGGAGCCACTGTGAGGAGGTCATCCACCAATCA